GCGGGAAGCGGCTCACGGCCACGGGCGATTCGGGCAGGGGTTCGGGGAACGCCAGCGGGGAAGGGGTCCTAAATACTGTGTGCCGGCCGTGCCGAGCCTGGGAGAGCTCCCGAGGCGTTTCGTCGGTGGGTACGGGAGTTTCGGAAGTGGGGCTGTACCGGTTCGGTTGGGACCTGCCTGACCCTCTCCGCTGGATGAAAACAAGTCCTCCGTACTTTCCAGCAGTGTGTCAGGAAGGGAGGAAGGGCCAGGGGTGCCAGGATCTGATGGAAGTGTCTGCAAAAGCAGTACATCTGTAGGCCGGGCGCTCCTGCGGTCTCTGATTCAAGCCAAATTGGAGCAGCTTTGAGCAAAGACCTGCTTTCCTCTGTCTCATGAGGGCAGAGTCAGTCAGGTCTAGCCCTCTTAAACAGTTTGGCTTTCTTTTTTCCACGTTTCATCAGGAGTACGATGGTGAACGCAATTCAGAAGGTGAGAGACATGGACGTGGAAAAGCACACCTACCCAATGGCGATACATATGATGGAGAATATGAACACGGTTTCAGAAGTGGACGGGTGAGAGGGTGACAGAAGACAGTGGTTGTGCTGATGTTTCAGCAGTTCTGTTAGCTTGGGCACTGTATTGAAACATGAGTGAGGACTGACGAGTATTTTATCTATACCAAATATGTTTCAGGGGACCTACAGATTTAGAAGTGGTGCTTGCTACACTGGAGAATATCTTCAAAACAAAAAGCATGGCCAGGGTATTTTTTTTTATCCAGATGGATCAAAATATGAAGGTAAAAAACTGAACACAGTTGAGAAAGGATTTCTGTAACTGAAAGGACACATTCCTCCCTCACCCCCCTGCCCTGAATGCAAGGAGATGGTGAATTGAAGAATGTATTGTTTTAAGAAGATAAATTTGCTATGAAATGTTTTCCTTTTATTCCTTTTTTACTACAATCTCTGACAAGTGGGGGTTTTAATTATGGGGATTTATGTCGATTATTGTGAGAAGCGTGGTATTTAGTAGTCATTTATTCTTGTCATGTCCTGCTTTTAAGTGGGGTGTTCCGAGTCCTGAGAAATATTAAGTATTATGAATCGGTGCAATCTTGGTAGAAGAGAGTATGGTTATTTATTTATGAATGATGGTTAGAACCACAGATGTGTTCAGTATAAAGTATCTTAGTACTTTGTCAGGTCCATCCTTAAAAAATAATCTACTGATGAGAGCACTTACTCAGGGACTGGGATGCCTCTGAAGTTTGAAGAAGTTGAAACTTGTGTTGTTTCCCTTCTTGCAGGAGAGTACCCGAAACACTCCGAATATCAGCTAGGCTTCAAGGGACAATATTTCTCCCCCTCCTTTCTAAGCTAGGCAAGAAAGAGCATTCACATTGTGAGGGCTGGACGGAGCGAGCAAAAAGAGCAGCCCACTCTTGCCTTACAGGAGCATATGTACCTGTGATTATTATTATTTTTTAAATTTCTTTTAAGTTTGAATAGAAGAGTAATTAAGACACACAATCTAGCATCCTTTTGAGCATACATGCCCCCTGACTGACAGGACAATTTTAGCAAATGAGTCAAGCTAAAGTAGTCCCTCTCTTTATTTGAGTGGAAACGTCACATTATCTAATGCAACTGTAATACATTACCAAATTTAAAGATAGGAGCAGGATGTTACATGGCTTTTTGTGTTCATAATGATAATGGAGAGTGAGAATGAGGACAGATCGTGATGGACACAATGAAAGGGAGGCCAGGCAGCTGCATAAATATGTGTGGAGAGGGACAGACAGAAGAAAAAAAGAGCAAGGGCTTAGAGTAAGGAATGGTATAAGGAACGGTGAGGAATCACAATGGTGTGGTAGCTTTCTTTTCCTTCTCTAATAATTCCTGTATGATAACTTTACAAACTGACGACTGTAGCACACAATGAAATAAACCACATCTTGCTCTGTTTTTATCATATTCTTATTAAAGGAGACTGGGTGAATGACCAGAGACACGGCTATGGAGAATATACGTATGCAAATGGAGACGTCTATACTGGAGAATGGTTTAACCACAATAGGTTGGTTTCATTCTTACAGTGATGATTGCATTAAAATGCAAAGGTTATTTTCAAAGCGTGGTTGACTGCAGCAAGTCAAGAGCTACTAGATGACCTTGGCATTTTAGTCCAACTTGAGTCATTTCAGCTACTTAAATAATACTGTTTTATTATCTTAAGCAGAACATCACCCTAAATTCTTAATATTCAGTAATATAAAGCAAAATTATTATTTTCTCCTTAGGCACGGGCAAGGTACATATGTCTATAAAGACACAGGAACTAAGTACGTTGGTGCCTGGGTAAATGGAAACCAGGAAGGAGAAGCTGAACTTATCCACCTAAACCATAGGTTTAAGGGCAAGTTTTTGAATGGAAATGTAAGTGTGCTGGAGAAAACTCTATTAATCTGAACAGTTAGCATGGAATTGCCTTAATAGGATCTGTTTCCACTTGAAATAAGAAGCTAGGCTCCTGATCTTTTGTAGTATTTCTTGTACCATAAGTGTAACCTATGAAAGTGAATTAATCCATAGGACAGAATGCCAAGCTTCTCTGCAACTTTGCTTTCAAACTATATTGTTATTAACTATTGTATGGCTTTTGTAGTAAAGCATATTTTACATTTATACGCTTAGAATGTACTGACTTTATAGTTCTGCTGACTTTCTGTATCTTTGTGCAGCCTGTAGGTCGTGGCAAATATGTCTTTGATATTGGATGTGAACAGCATGGTGAATATGTACAGTCAGAGCAGGTAAAAGAAATGGTGCAAATGGTATTGAATGTCAGAGAAGTCAGTAAACCAAATCTATTGTTGAGCAATCTATAAAATGCCTTATAGACACTGAAGTTACAGTAGACCTAACCAGTCAAAAAAGGGTAGAAACTCATGCATTCTTAAGAACTAAATGAGATTTCCTTTTGCTTTTTTCTTTAGCTTCTCTATTGCGTAATCTTTAATAAGTACAAGGTGTGATTTTTACACTACTTGCAAACAGGAGTCCTGCTTAAAGTTTAGAAAAATCAGGACCTTCCCAAAACATTTGAAGTTTTAAACCACAGAAGAATGTAGATGTATTTGTCTGTACATTTAGCCTGTATGCCACTTTGTTCTGAAACCAGAAAACAGTGAAAAATATATTTCTGAATTTCTTGATGCTATGCGTACAAACGGTAATTTCCAGTAGATTCATGTTTTGGAAATATGTCCCATTGTTGTCCTGAACCTGTTTGGAGCTTAATATCTACAGCTCCTAATAATTGTAGGGAGCAGCTGGGATCAGGGCCTGCTTTTCCTTCTCTTTCATGTTTGAATGTTTTGAAGCATTTCTGATTAATGTGGTGCAAAATACGTGGCCATAGAGATAAGAAATATATCTTAATATTACTGTTTTGCTTTCAAGAAAATATGCCACATTTCAGCTTAGAATTTGCTACTTCTGTTGTCTGACACATTAGTTCCCATTACACACTCTTGGAATATTCTCCAATGCAGCAATTGTTTCTTAAGAGAAAGGCAAAATGATAATTAAAAAAATCCTATCATTAGTGACAGAGATTTGAAAAACATGGAGACTGTTTTGCTTTTTTTGGCTAAAAGCAAGAGATCCTCAAATTAAGTATCAGGTTCATAGGAGTATCCAAAGTGATGTGTATCTGGTATCCTCAGTTCAGTTGGGAATTGTTGAATGTGCTGATTTTGGAATATTAGGCCACTGATGTGGGAGTTTAAACATGAATCTAAGAAGCCAAGGTTAAGTACTCTCAGGAACAATAATTTCTTCTCATGTGAATGTTGTAGTGACTGGGTAAAGCAAGTGACAGTGCTGTCACTAAAGTAAGATTAAATTTTACCTCTTTGCTTTAGTGGAAGGAATTGCAGAATAAGGTCCATTTAAAAAAATAAAAAGAAATTAGCTTGCAATCATGATTCCATTACGAAGACTCCTTCATATTTGGATAAAATAAAGCATGATTTTTTAAATAAAAAAACTATCTTTCAAATTTCAAAAACGTAAGCTTTGTGCGGTACCTTACGGCTTCCTAGATCCGTTCCAAGGTCTTCCCTAAGCAAAGATTGAGGCAGAAAGAGGTGTTTTGCCACTCTGTTCCTGTGTGAGAGAGTGCTATCCTGTAGACAGGTACAGAAGAGGAGACAGAGCTGACAGGCCCCTCACAGCCATTCTGTTTCAGGGAGAGACAAAATTTTACCTTAAAGAAAGCACGCTGGCAAACACTGATCATTACTAATACTAGTAGACAACTGAATTCGTCAAGGTTCAAAGTGTAGTTCTCTTCCAAAATTTGTGCCTGCTGAAGTTCCTCCACCTGTAAATACTTTAAAAGGCCGCGTCATTGGTGTTTTGAGCCCACATAAAGAGGTTTCAGTACACAAACCCATCATCTTAGTTACTCCCTTAATGCCTGTCCGATGAGATGCTGGATTTCATGAGTTGTCTTCTAGGAAAAAGGAGAGGGAGAGGAAGAGGAGGAACCCTCGTTACTTGTTGCACCAAAATGGAAAGCATCAGAAATTACCAAATTAACGCTCTGGACTCCCCATGGGGAGAACCCACCTCCTCCCAGAGAAGCCCCCTTAGTGGTGGCCACAGCAGCAGAAGCAGTGGAAGGAAGAGCAAGAGCAGCAGTGACTGAAGAGGAGAAAATGCCATCAATTCCAGGTTTGTTCTGCTGGACAGCTGGAAAGTCCATGCTTTGACTATTCCCTGAAACCGAATTTTTCAGATTTAATATCAAGTCGTGTGAGAGGATTTCTTGGTTTGGTTTTTTTGTTTGTTTTTTCCTATATTTTACCACATATTGAATGTTAGGAACTTCTAAGTCTGTTCATATATATGTCTGTTTTATCTCACATAGCATGAGATAAAACTGTCTTGGGAAGCCTGTGAATCATTTTAGTCTTTGTCATGGCCTGTTATATGAACTTGATTATAAACAGTTACAGAAGAATTTGTGGGATTTCTCATGTGAGTAAAGACTGCAGACTTCAGTGGGAGTTATTAGCTACTGCTTGAAAACAATGGCTGAGAGCAAATTTGTGAAATTCATTTTCTTCGGTGTTTCTAATTTCTCATATTTCAGTCACTGATGAGTCTGCTGAGGGTAGGGATGATGAGCCTTCTCTTCATCAAGTATCCAGTGAAGCTTTTAGCCCAGCAAGGGATGCAGGAGAGGAAGATGAGGGAAGCAGAGAGGAAGAAGAAAACAAAGATCAGGAAGATCAAGGTGAGGAATGGAGCATGCATTAGTTAGCAATCAGGGTTTGAAATGATGTATGTCAATCAGCTGAAGTCATGCTGCTGCTGAGACGTCCGTAACCGAGCTGAGAAGACCATGGGAATCTCTGCCTTTCATAAAGGGGGCAATCCTCTGTAGATGTAAACTGGTTTTGAGTAGTCAAGTTCATATACTGGGACAGTACGAATTAGAAGTGATACTTCTGCGCAGCATTGTCTATGCATGTACAGTTGGCAGCACTTGCCGAGCTAAGTTTGGAGGTGATTGCATTCGTAAACTTTTTTTGGTACAAAAATGAGATGATTTCAGATTCTGGGAATTTCAGGGGGTTTTGCGCACTCCACTTTTCTGACATGAATGGAACTGTGTATTCTTATTCTCTCAAATGAAGTTAAAAAGCAGGCAAAACAAATCTGAAGAAACAAATTTTAAGTATTGTTATGCATTATGGTTTGAACAGTCTCTGCTTGTTTCTCCTACAAACCAAAGAGATTTCGAATTCAGATGCTCAGGTTTTCTTCCAGGCAGTTCAGAAGCCTGTTTTAAATACCAAGTTGCTGAGAAGCAACAAAAGGATGCATCTATGTTTACTCTGTATTTATTAAGTGTTAACATTTACGAGCTTACATATCTGATGCATAAAAACTTAAGATAAATTTATTCATTTGTAGTCAGTCCATTTTACAATAAATCAAAGCATGGCACTATCCATAGCGATCAGAAAGACTACTAAACCATGTGATAATGCCTGGAGGTATGCACTAAACATTTAGGTCAGCTCTTGGAATTTTTGTAATTTATTTGCTCTCGTTTTTTCCCGTCACCTCTAAAGGTGCTCTCCTGCTTCAGGGCAGACCAGCCAGCTAGCTGATCCGGTGTGTAGGACTGACATCTTACAGGATCCCTGGGCTTGCATCAGATCCAGCAGAAATCTCAGCAGATTCCCTACATAGCTCTGCTTTGGATTTGGCAAAAGTCCATTGAGCCTGATTTGTCTCCAAGTCTCTTGGACACAAATAACCGTTTTGACTGAACTTGATTCTAATAAATTTTCTGGCCTACAACAATGAACCTGTTCTAGTATCCCCATTGTGTGTTTTGTTTGGTTGGTTTTGGTTTTTTTAAAGAACAAATGGACCCAAGTATCTGTCAGAGACAGCATAGATGCAGATTCCAATGCATGAAAAGATAGGAATATGATAGACGTTCATGAAGTTCCTTCCAGATCTTTATTTCCAGAACCAAAGAGTTGGATGATTTTATACATTTTTCAGCATAGGTCTACATCCATAATTAATTAGGCAACATATTGTTCCCCTTGTCTTTATGTTTAGCAAGATTAAGTTATGGTAAGAGGAAATGATTTGAAGAAAATATGCATACTGTGAAGAACAGATGTAACAAAATCTGTTTTCTTGCAGCCTTGTATTCTCTGTCCCATTACCATCATTTTTTTCCACACAGGAATTCCATCCTTCTTGCTCCACGTTTCTTATGATATTGTCTAAACAGGAGATATTCTTTGGCTACTCCAGAGTTACATATGGGCTGGCTGGCAGTCAGTATGTGTGTACTGAGTCTGTCTGGCAGCTGACAAACAGTGTATAACAGTTAAATTCAAGTATTGGCAGTGAAAGGCAGTGGGAAAGGAGGGCTGAGGTAGACAGCATAGTCCTAGAATTATGGTTTAGGTTACTAGGATTACTTTCCAGTATTTTACAGTAAAATGCATCTCTATGTCCTGTCTTTCCTTCCCCTCCACAGGAACTACCAGTTTAGAGGGTAAGAAGGATGAATCAAAGGAAGCAGAGTAATTGGATACAATTAAAGACAAACAGCCAAAAAAACCCCAAGGAAATTTCAGAGTAAATCATTTATTATGGTAAACCTGCAATATTTTTATTCATAAAATGCTGAGGTAAGATACTTTGAATAAACCTTTTTGTCAGTGTTCTGTCTGGAATATGTATCTCTGAAACTTTCATGATGTCAGAGTGTGCAGTCTCACAACAACTTTCTTTTTTCCCACGTGGTAGGTAGTCAGTTGTTGAATTCAGTACGGGATTATTCTGGATTCATGAAGTTGTGTCCTCACAAGTTTGCAGAAGCAAACTCGATCTTCTCCCACTACTGGTAGTTCTTCTCTTCCTTGAACCTTGCCTCTGGCACAGAGACTTGGGGTCTTGCTTGTGAAGACAAAGGCAGCACTGGGCTTCCCAGCTCTATCTGTATCTCCTGTCACTAGACCACCAGTTACAGGCCTACATGTTCCTTGTGGGTTGTTTTGTTTGTTTTTTTTTATTGTTCATGTAGCTGTAGAAGCTCTTTGTGTTGCCCTAAATGTCCCCTTGCCAGTTTGAACTCAAACTGAATTTACTTTCCTAACACACTGGTGCAGTGTTTTTAAATTCTTCCTTTGTAGTCTGGTTTTGCTCCCAATTTCTGTATACTACTACTTTTGGTTTTCTGTTGCATCTCAGTCCCAGATTTCTTGTTTACCATGTAGCCTTCCTTAAGCCGTTCAAAGGAGACTGTCAACTGATCAGTCTGAGGATCAGTTTGTTGTCCATAGTACAGAGGAGGTCTATGCATCCAAGCTGCTTCTTCACATAGAGGAAAACTCTCCTCCTCATTTTCCTTTTTTGTCTTTACTAATGGCCCTTCATTCATTGGGGAGCTCCAGCTGTGTGACCTGTCCCACCATCTTTCAGTTTTTCCAAGGATGTCACAGTTCTGCATCTGCACACAGAGCAGTTCCTAGTTCCTCCTTTTTGTTTCTCAGGCTGGATCCATTTGTATACATATACTTAAGGTAGGCTCCCTTTTGACTTGTTTGATCTTTCCCAAGGGGTATCTTGCTCCCATCACCCTGCCCCATTTACTGACCACCCCTGAACTTCGTTACTTAGTGTAAGTAGTTATCGCCATCCTCCAAGGTATCAGATTTGCAAACCTGTTGGCAAAGATACTCTTACCCCCCTTTGTTACATCTCCTTGTTCCTCCAAGAGGGACCCATGGTCATGAGAGCCAAAGCACTACCTATGGCAACAGCCGTGTGACCAGTTGCTGCCTCTCAATATTGTGTCCCATCTTACCTGACCCCTTCCCATGGAGGATCAAGGTGTTGTCCTGTGGGTTTCCATGTCCTTTGCCACCCAGAATCCTGCAGTTACTCTTGTTTTGATCCAAGTGTCCCTCAGCATTATCACTGATGGTCACACTGATGAGCAACGAGGGGTAGCAGTCAGGGAACTGGATGAGCACTGACCATCTCTCTACAACACCTGGTATCTGGGCATCTACCAAACAGCAAACCTCCCATGACAGCATGTCTCATCAGCACGTTCCTTTTTCACAGAATCCCAGAATGGTCGGGGTTGGAAGGGCCCTCTGGAGATCACCTAGTCCAACATCTCTGCCAAAGTAGGTTCACCTACAGCAAGTTGCACAGGAACACGTCCAGGTGGGTTTTGAATATCTCCAGAGAAGAAGACTCCACAGCCTCTCTTTATTCCCAACAGAAGGGGATCTCCGACTGCCACCACTTGCTGCGGGTGTGCAAGCTGGGCACAGCTGAGACTGAAGCTTTCCTTGGCATCATGTGTTCCCCTCCCATGGCTACTGGGGCTCACCACCAACCCTCTACATTCAGGTCTGAGCAGGGAGGAGGAGCATTTCTCCTGCTGCCAGAAGTCATGAACTTCAGAAATTTCCCTCAGGGAAGTCCTCATCCACTGCTCCATCCAGCACAACCCCTAGACATCCCTCCACCTCAGGCTCATGGTCTCAACTCTTTGGAGACCCTGCTAATATCCCATTTTCCCTCCTTAATAATGAAGAATCTGCACACCTCCTTCTGCAAGTCCCTGGACACACAGCACCTGGACCACAACACCCTCCCAAAAGGGTGGAACCCATCACTGACAGCCCCGTGAGAGACTCAGACACAACATCCCCCTGCCCAAGCCCTGCCTGGGCCATCACCACTGATGTGCCAGGGGTACTTTCTTCACTGGTGCTGGAGATCAGGCCCAGTAGCTCATCAACATTGGTGTTGCACAGTCCCACACTGTTTGGAGGAGAGTTTCTGCCTTTCCCCAGCACCCACACAAATTACCAAAAACTCTGCTTGCAGTACTCCCATTTCCCAGCTGAATAAGCATCGCTACACAGCAGACAAAAATCAGTCTGGTACCCCCTAATCCGCAAGCACTAAATCACTGAACGTTCCCCTCCTTTGAAATCAAGAACCTGTCAATCAGGAAGCAGGAGACAGCAACTGCAGAAGCCTCTTAGAAGCAACCAGAATCAAAAGGCATTAGTAAGTTAATAGTAAGTTAAAAGTACCGAGCAAGGCAGAGCCGCACAAAGTATGGTACAAGCACTAAATGCCACAGACAGATCTTCTCTTCTGCAGGTGAATAAAGCTGCTCTGAAACATTTGTTTCCTGATAATGTGTAAGCAATACCTTAATTATTAACATATATATCTGTCTGACTTTAACTGACTTCCTCGTACCGTGGGAATATTGGTATGAATGGTGATGGGCCTGGAGCCTGAGGCAGAGAGTTGCCAGCCAGTAGCAGTCTGCTTTTGAAGTAAAATCACTGGGTTTGGCCCAGTTGAGATAAGAGATGCTGTACTGATATTGCCGACACAGGACTTACATGTCCTTATTCGTCGCCTCAGAGCAGGAAATGTATACTAAAATTTTCGTTTAGGGGAAAGAGAGAAAACATTTTAACAAATTGCTTTTCCCTACTTTTACAGCTCACCGTTTCAGCCAAGATATGCCCAGAAGTTTGAAAGTTAGTGATAAAAATGGATTAACAGAAAGTGGAGATAAGGAAAAGAGTCATATGAAATAGAGTTTGTTACTACTTCCTTGCAATTTTTCTCCTATCAGAAATGTGAGAAAATTCCCGTGCAGTCTTTCCCCTTGTATCTTACATGTCATTTAGTTTGCAATTTCTTGTCACACTGAGGTGACTTCAGTGAGCCTTTTTAGAGGTGGTTATCGTTTCCTTTTGCTTTCTTTGGCAAAGGGAAGTGCTGCATTTCCTTTATTATGGTAGCTAGATCAAAACAAAATTGGCTTGCTAATGTTGGGGGTTTTGTCTTTTTATAGAAACACTAAAAATCATTAGTTTACTTGCTAATTTTAATAAATTATACTGTAAATTTGAGAAATATCTGCACAACATATTTCCCAACTCACTTCCATCTTAAGGTAATCTTCAGGCCAAGCTGAGTTCGTTCTTGGATCACTTCTATTACCGTTGCCCCTGCAGCACTGTACTGTTTATTAGTAGGTGGGTGACCTCCAGTGGTACACCTGCAAAAAACCTCCACAACATCTTGTCTGAATACAATCAAGGAAAACTGAGAACATCGGGAAATCTCTAATGTCTTAAAAAGTGCTCCCGAGATGATCACAGA